TGGGTTTATAGTATAAACTTACAAAAAGGACACCACTAATAAAATAAAATAAAAATAAATTAAGGGCTATACTATAGATTTAAATAGGATAATGAAGACTGCACTCTATAAACAAATAAATGAGACCAAAACAAAACTGATCTTGTATCAGAAAACAATGTGATTATAGCACACTTTAATGAGAGCTAATTATGTGAATCATAATATTTGAACAAATGTATGTAAGAACATTCAGGAGATGGCTAAGATAAACTGTTTAAGAAATTAGCAGCCTGATGCAGGAGCACAAAGAAACAAATCCCTTCCCTTCCTGTTATAGATATGTGTGATTGGGATGAAATAAAGCAACAGTATTATACAAACGTTTTGCTTTTATTCAAGATCAATAAAAGAAATGAAATATTTTGGAAAACATTTATCCTAAAAATATTCAAAAAACAGCTGCATAGCTTTCAGACTAACTTCTAATACATCTGAATGTAAGCATTATTTAATAAAAGTACAACGTCTTAGATATGCATTCACTGCCGAAAACCCAGAACCGATGTTGGCTATTTCATATACTGTAATTTTATTTCATGTTTTGGCATGTCAAAATAATAAGATGCAGTTCTTTTGTCTTTGAAAGTTAAATGAAGGGTGTTTCTCACATACGTGTTTTAATTTGGGATTATTGAGTGTTCACCTGAACCCTGCCCAAATGTCTGCTGTCAGCTGCTGTAGATTATTTTTTCTCTCCTTCTCTATTACGTCTCTAAACGCCAGCGTGACTTTCATACACATGGCTAGTGCTCTGTAAACTTATAGACATATTTTTCCTTGGATTGGGGCTAACTTTGATATACTTTTGTTCTTTTATATGCCAGTTATCTGCAAAAGAAAAAGGCGTGGTTCAAGAGTAATCATAGGAAATACTTATTTAGCCCTTTCTCATATTTATACATAGCTAAAGAAGGGGCCACACAAATAACTTCCTTACCACTGGAGAATCGGTCATATCAATTAATACACTTATTTCAGTTTTTAATTTTCATGACGTAAAAAACAGAGTTTATGGAACAATCCATGTACAGGTGTTTTCAGCACAGTAATTACAGACTTTAAAAGATTGTAAGACAAAAACCTATGAGGTAAACTGATTAGAATGAAGCCAAATATATGTATCCCAGGACAATGTTGCAGGATCAAAACATGCTAGAGTCCATCTTCAGGGAACTTCTCTCTAGCAGAGTGTGTGGTATTTATATGGTGCCTGTTTTATGTGGCTTTTTAGATGTTGATTGGGATGTGGTGGTGGCAGGATTTTAAGTCATTGGCTTTCATTTGCTTATGCTGCCCAGCCCTCACCTTTTAAGTACTTGATAAGCTGATGGTAAATCAGCACTCCTGTTGACTGACTAGGGGCCTGTTTCCAGGGCCACACTCACTATCAAACAAGGAAATATAGTGAAAACTGAAGGAAGCAAGATGCCCCATGAAAGTAACATTAAGAGTCTGGATGAAGATAATTATTACAAATACCTTGGTATCCTTCAAGTTGACAATATCAAGCACATTGAAGTCAAGAAAAAGATTAGAGGTGAATACATCAAGAGAGTGAAGATCTTAAAAGTCCAAAGTCAATGGGAGAAATATCATCAAGGCAATCAACACCTGGACAATTCCAGTCATTAGATACACAGCGGGAATAGTGGACTGGACTCAAGCAGAACCCTTCATCTCTTGCAGTGACATGGACAGACTCTACCTACCAAGGTGGGCATGGAATGTTGCAAGTACATCAGATGGGTGAAGAAGAAAAAGGGTCTTTGGAAAAATATCTGAAGGACAATGAAGAAGATGCACTGGAGTTATTATGCCAGGATGGCTTACTGACTACTGGAAAGACCAAACTGGCTTACAAGAAAGACCAGATAACAGATAATCAGAGTTGGAAGGGACCTTGTAGGTCATCCAGTCCAACCCCCCCACCCAAGCAGGAGACCCTACACCATTTCTGAAAAATGGCAGTCCAATCTCTTCTCGAAAGTCTCAAGTGATGGCGCTCCCACAACTTCCGAGGGCAAGGGGTTCCATTGGTTGATTGTTCTCACTGTCAGAAAGTTTCTCCTTATTTCCAGGTTAAATCTCTCCTTGTTCAGTTTCCATCCATTATTCCTTGTCTGGCCAAAATAGTTTGACCCCTTACCTTTCTGTGGCAGCCCCTCAAACATTGGAAGACTGCTATCATGTCTCCAAATGAAGAACAGAATGGAGGCATAGGAAGACATGGCCAGTACTTTAAAAAAAATAACAGGAGAAGCAGATAATAACAAGACCTGGCAAAGAAAGAGGCTGAGGGACTAATTCTGGCTGCACAAAACCAAGTCTTAAGGACAAATGAATACAAAGCCAGAACTGAGAAGACAGCTATCTATGCAATGAAGCTGAGAAAACATTTGACCATCTGGTCAGTTGCTACAAGAAGATTGCACAGACTGACTACGAGACTGCACCATTGGAAAACCCGAGGAACCAGGCTGAGAACAAATCACCCTGGAGAAATTTATCTAGGTGATTGCCAGGAGTTTGTGCTGACTTAATGGCACATTGTGATCATCATCATGAATAGGAAGCTCATTTGTGTGGATGGGTCTCAAGTATTCTATATTTTTTCAAAATTATATTAAATAAAAGTTATTCACTTCACTTGTTGGATTCATAAGTTCTATATAAGTTCAGTTTGTTCAATAAGTTCATTTTGATCACTGAAACTGCTTATTCAAACACAATGAGAAACGAACCCTTTTTTGATGATTGGATTTTACTCTTCCTTAAGCTTTAACTTACTTAGTTTTACTTCAACCAATTAAGGGGGATGGATGCTTTCTCAAAATAAGCCCCATCAGCTGCTCCAATAGTTATTTTTTTCTATTACTTACTGACTTTTGCATTCACTTCAACATGGGATACAGATGGGACCTCCCAGCTGTTTAAGTAAGATTTCCCCCTTTAATGATGATACACTAAAACTGCAGCTAACAATCTCAGAACAATCACAAGCACAGCACAGCAAAACCACTTATATAACAAATAGCTAGAGTCAAATTAAAACCTTTTCTTTAATTGTTGACCAAAGATTTGCATAATTACTGGTCTGAAGTTGATTTGACCAGAGTGTGGTCAATATGGCCACAGGTAAAAAAAAAAAAGTGTGCTTTCATAGGGGTTAGGATCATAAAATTGGATCAGGAGCCAAGTCCTTACTATAGTAGATTTTTGATAATACATTTCTGTTGAGTGTGAAACTGCTACTATTAAAAAAGAATCTTGGATAGGCATGTCATATAACCCCTGGTTTTGTAAGAGGTGGTTTCTCAGATTTACCAAATTTTCTCTTGCTCAGTTTATAAGGAATGTTTAAATAAAATAGCCCAGGTTTAAAAGAACATCCTCTTTTCCAGACTAAGATGTGTAACTTTTTTCAGGAAACATTACTGGACTCTAACTTTATTTTCTCAGAATGCATATTTTGTGATTGCAGTAAGAGTAAACAGTAATTTACCTCAGACCAGGAGCATCTTTGAAGTCCTTTCTAGGCTTTTAGCACGTAGTTGATTAGCTATCAGGCTGAAAAGGAAGTAGTAAAATGAGAGTACATTGATTAGTATCATTTTTTTTTATTACAAGGGAACCGGTGAAGAACCTGGACCAAGAATGGGGAGACCCAGGTTCATGTCTATTCTTCTCTCTGAAACTCCTTGAGTTACTTAGGTTTAACATCTCCAGGGGATACCAATATTCATGTATTCGCATAATATAGGTGTATAAAAGAAGTTTTTTTATTCTTACATTAAAAAGTTCTTAAAATAGGACTCTGTAGGGCTGGCATTTTTAAGAACCTATCGTTTAACACAAAACTAATAGAATGTATTATGATCATTAGCATCATGTAGCCTCATTGTTAGGACTGTTGATTCTAGTGATAACATGATGCTCCAGATCTTAAAGAAGACTAAGAAATATTCTGGCCTTACAATCCAGAGTTTGTAAGCCACTGAAAATATAAAATCGAAAATCCAGGTATTTGAACAATAAATCTACCTAGATGGTAGCAAAGGGGGTCTAGAAGATTGGAATTTTATAGCCTGGTTTTGGTAGCTTTCCCAAGGCTCTCAAGCAGTGGTAGGATTCAATTTTTTTTACTACCAGTTCTGTGGGCGTGGCTTGATGGGCGTGGCAAGGGAAGGAAAGTGTAAAATCTCCAGTCAGAGGTGGTATTTGCCGGTTCTCCAAAGTACTCAAAATTTCCGCTACCGGTTCTCCAGAACTGGTCAGAACGTGCTGAATACCACCTCTGCTATCAAGCACCTTCCATAAACATTTCTTCCAAAAGGGATCTGGTAATAAACTGAGCGTCATAGACATAGCCAATCCTAAAGTTAAGACTACAACTTTAGAATATCTTTTGAAAATTTCTGTTTTCAAAAGGGAAGAACAACTGACAGAAGGAGTAAATGTTTTGGAAACCCCTTCTAGAAATTCAGTCTAAAATTTCTTTGTGACTTCGGCATGAACAAAATGGAAATTTAACAATTTAAGAAAAGCCATACTTTCTATTTGTTTCCCCTTAGATACTTCAAAAATGTAATGAACTAAACCTTAATTAACAGGTGGGAGGGGGGGAAGGAAATTAACTTAAACAAGTTTTGCAACTTAAACACATTTATTTTGAATTATTTCTGCATTTCTTTTCTTTTTTTCAGAAAAATCTGAATCTGTTTTCTAACAGGAAAAAAAAAGATGAGTTACGTTGATGGCCTAATCTCCCTTGATATTTGAAAGGTCTTATAAAAATGTCATCACTTTAATAGTAGAAATTGTGAGATGAGTAATCTTTAAGTGGAGGGAGGGGGGGAAACCTTTGGTTTTCCTCTGCTGTTCTGTGAGTGCACACATATGCAGATGAGCCTGTCAGAGTATCTCTCCTCCTACACCACTGTGTAGAGGAAGTTTGTTGATATATTACTGAAACTGATTCTTCAAAGCCTGCAAGGAAGGACAAAAAGGAAAGCAAGGGACACTCCCACACAAACACACATACACAAAACCACAATGACCATTCAAAAGCTTGGACGTGCATTGATTTGTTCTACCAGAGAGTGGAACAGCAGCCTGAAGAACTTATGATGAAAGAGCACTGTAGGCCCTACAGCAGTGCCAGACCAAGTCGGATCAGCAATTCCACCATGGAAAGCCTGCCGTCACTCAAGCCTAACTACATGTCTGTGTGTTTGTTTGCAGAAGAATCTTATCAAAAATTAGCAATGGAAACTTTGGAGGAATTGGACTGGTGTTTAGACCAACTTGAAACTATTCAGACCTATCGATCTGTTAGTGAGATGGCATCCAATAAGGTAAGAGAGAAAAATTACATGCAAACACATGTATTTTAAGAACAAAGTGAAAAGTTGTGGATTTTTCTGCCTTCCCTTGCAAGGTCAGGTTGCTGACCTATTTAAAAAAATTAAAGCAATATAAATGAATGAGTCCAAATTTTCAAAATCTTTACCAGAATGCTATTGTAGTTAATCAAGTTTTCCTGCTTTTAATGTTATAGAATTAAATATAACATGTGCTATAATGAATAAAAGCAGTTTAGAAAGCTGGAAAACAAATTCTAGCATATTACTGCAATGCTAACAGTAATTCTAGAAATATTTTAACATTATTTCTAGAATGTATACTAGCAGTAGCAATCATCAGCAAATCAACTGAAAAGAATGGTGTAGATAAAAAGTACAACTATCCTTATGAAGCTTTTGCTAGTTTTTTTTCCTCTTCAATAAATTATCATGACAATCTTTAGTTACCATGGATTGTATACATGGGGTTTGTTTTAATTTTAGTTATGTATTTTATTTCTCTCTATATATATATATTGCTTATGGCAGCAATTCGTATAAAATATTGCTTCATCAGTGTAAATATTTCTAAACTGTATAAGGAGGTATAATGAGAAGTTGATTTTTAGACTTGAGTTATCTAAAATATTTTATTTTTATTATAATTTAGTCTGTGTATATGTTTGCATTCTAAAGTGTTTATTTTTTTTTTTCTAAAGACAAATGCACTTACCTCTTTTCCATGTATTTAATATCTAAGAGTTGGACATTATTTAAAATTGAAACCAGTCCTTAGTTGGCTAGCAGCCAAACTTTTGGGTAACAAAAGGCCAATGTATTCCCTGATGGCATGAGTATCACCTCAACTATAATCTCAGGCATTTTTGAGAGAAAACATGGCTTGTGTCTGACTGAAGAACTTAATAAATTTTTGTGCAGTGTTAAAGCAAAGACTTCACACTCTGGCTTGATTAGTGAACAACATATATAACTTTTTTTCATATGCTTTCAGTTCCCAATTTATTTAGAACCCTACTGTTAATTCTCTTTTATCAGTTTCATCCAAAATATGCGTTCATATATAAGTATAGTCTAGAAGTCATTTACAATGGCCATTATAGGATGGTCACTAGGCTAGAGCCTTATGCAGATACTTTGTTTGCAGATACAGTTTGTTTCTATTATTAAGTAAATAATAATCAACTTCAATGTGAGGGAGGTGGTACAACTGTTCTCCATAGAGAAAAAAGGGTATTCAAGCAAATACTATCAATTTTTGAGTACAAATAAAATTAAAAATAGATTTTAAAAAAAACCATATAAATAAAATTGCATAGTCCCAATTTTACTTTTCCTACATATATACTGTATATGAAATGAGATTACATTGCCCTTCTCATTTTGTCTCTACTTTGTCATGTTTATTCTGTGTTGCAATTTTTGAAAAACCATTTGAAAAGGTAATGCTTACAGCTGAAAATAAAGAGCAAATTGAACTTTTCAGAACCCAAGAAGCCTTTTGAAATATGCTGAGTTATTGTCAAATTTCCCACATCTGTGAAGTATCTGAATAATCTGTCTTCCTTCCGTCAAAGACTTCTGCACAGAAATTTGCAAATTGCAAAACAATCAAATGTTTTGAAAACAGGATGTTTCTAGCTCCCCATAGTAAAGAACAGAAAAACAGAAGAGAAAGGAAGGCAGCAAGTAGATCCTGCAGGATTCCAAGTGTGAGGGCTGTAAAAACAGTGACCTATCTTCCTGACCTCTGCTATTGCTAAGTTCCTGGCTTCGTGCCACTGAAGCCCAAACTACGTCATTTCAGAATGATAGTGGGCATGGCACAGCTGTTGTAAGTGTGACTCGAATTTCCTGTCTCCTTCCTGACAGACGTAGTTTTAAAAGTACGGCATTGCAAAAACAGGAGACAACAGAGGAAAGATAGGTTTTGAATCGCTTTTCAGAATTGCTTCCCAAAAAATGATTCTTCATATTGATAAAAGCCAAGAGATCCTACATGAAAATATTTTGGTTTTTTTCCTTTCTTTCAGTAAACAAGCTGGAAGGGTTTAAGTAAAACAATTACTTAGAAATACAACAAATTTATTCTCTGCTATGCAGGAGGAGAGAAATTCAGAGAAACTTTTAAATAAAAGAATTGTGAAGATGCAAAAAAACAAACATTCTCAACAACCACAAATACAGCAATCAATACACGGGATTTGACATTAAATCTTTTCAGTTCTATTCAATCACATGATATCAATTAGAATTTTGCTGTTGCTCGCCCTACAATTTCATGATGTTTTTCTGATATAGTTTCTACACTGCCAAAATTTCCAATCGCTAATTTGAATTAATATTCATTATGCTCATTTCTGAATCCTATCCATACTTAGTCATCTCTTACCATAGGTGTAGATCAAATAATAATTTATTTTATTCATTGGGCAGATAAATCTACTTTTGAGATAACCACGGTCTCTGTAAAAACAGACAGAGATTGAATGCATCCTCATGTTATAAGATTATAGGTATTTCTAGATAATTAGTAAGCATTAATCTATATGATAACTATATTAAGGAATAATAATAATAGATATTTGTGACTTGCAACTTTGTGATTATATAGCATGGCCTCTTAAATAGACAAAACAATGGACCAAATAACACTCCCAACATATTTATCTGTCTGCTAGTATGAACAGTTTGTAATTCCATGTTTTAATATGACTTTATATACAACTGAGATTGTTGTTGTTGTTAGTTGTGAAGTTGGGACTGACCCATTGCCACCCTATGAACAACGTTCCTCCAGGCCTTCCAATCCTCTACCATCTTCTGGAGTTATTTAAGCTCATACCTACTGCTTCAGTGACTCCATCTAGCTACCTCATTCTATGTCGTCCCCTTCTTCTATTGCCTTCAATCTTTCCCAGCATTAGGCTCTTCTCCAGTGAATCCTTCCTTCTCATTAGGTGATAGTAAAGTATTTGAGATTAGTGAATTTAAAATATGTTCCTGTTAAACATTTTTTGTTATAAAATTAGGACCTCAATTTGCCAGGACAGCATATTTTTAGTTCTCATGGACAATTTTTTTTATAATGTTGAAGTCTTTAATATCAGTTTGCTTATCAATTGTTTTACTTAGGTAATTATATTGCATATTATGTTTATGACTGAAGAATTTACAAAGCTTCTTTTTTCCACACTTGAGTCTATCTATGGCATGACTGATGTAAGAGGAGCAACAGCAGTCACAGAATTGGACAGGCTGAGATTTTTGGAGTCACTCAAATGACCCCAAGGGAGATGCATCCTTCCATCACGTAGGCACTTTCCGAAATGTCCCATTATACCCCCTCTCCTTTGTTAGCAATGTCACATACTAGACCATTGTCCTCCTTATCTGTAAACTAAAATCTATTGATGTATACAAAACTTTCACTACACTCCTTTTAAAGAGTTTTCAGGCACATAGGACACTCACGTCTTGGTTTTGGGAGGCTAAATAAACCAAACATGAGTACTCTAATGTAAACTTTGGAGGTAATTCCTGGCTGTTTGCCCCTTGCCTATGTGCTTCATTGCACAATGTCCATATTGAGAAATGGGGGGACCTGATGAGAATCTGCCAAGACTGAATCTAGCTCACTTGGTACGTGATGTTTGCTTAAGGTGTGCCAAGCTGTTCTTGCTTTTGAGTTTACTGTAATTTCCTTTGTTTAATCTGCATTACAAAATAGTCATATGTCTCCAAAAGATTTACTTGGATTAAGTGCTGGCAGTCAACCTGCTGCTTCCATTTTCTTTGTTTTTTAAAAGGGTGCTTTAACAGCTGTGAATCATAGAATTCTTTGGGATTCCCTTTTTGTTGATTGCCATTTGTCCTTAGGAACTGTGGCCCAAGCAAAGAAATGTTTCTAGAAAAGAAAGACTAATAAAGAGTTGACTCAGAATTACCCACAGTTTTATAAAAAGCACAATAAACATATGATAAATCTCAAATGAATTTGTGCTAGAGAAATTTAATGCTTGCAAGTATGAAGGTGCTTAACATTCTTATTTTATTTAATTAACTTTAAATTTGATGTTACAATGTGAAGACTTATTTCATATTGAGTCTGAGAAACATTTAATGTGATAACCTCTGAACCTCATCACTTAGTTTTCAGGTAGAATAAGAAAGCATGTTGTTTCTTATTCAAAGAAGTGAATTGTGCAAATATTTGGGTCTATTTGAGATCGTGTTTCTCAATCTCAGCATCTTTACAATGGGTAGTCTTTAATTCTCAGAAATCCCCAAACCAATCCAAAAAATACTGATTTAAGATACTGAACACAATCTAACAATTGCTATTGGTATGATTAAATGACTGCTTGCTACCAAAAATGAACTAAGGAAGTGTCAGAAAAAGAATTGCTAATATTTCATTAGTTGTTTTGCATGTAACCCACTCTGATATTTTCTGGATTCAATAGTTATATACTGTATATTAAAGAAATTGAGCACTTTTATAGAGTCCATAAATTTTGCTTTACTATTGTTATTTACTCATAGATGAATAGGTCCAAAGTCCTTTATTAACTGGGCTTTATTCTTTATGCATAAATATCTTAGATCTCATCAAACTGTCCTTTCAATTTACTGGTTTTGTCCTTATCCTTAAGAACTTTACCCTTTTTGTCACTGGATACCTTTCAGAATATTCTTTTCATGTGTCACTTACCAAAATAAAACTCCCATAACCTCATTTAACAGTAACCCCACTGGTCACTTTAATATCCCAAAATGTGAATGATGGAGGATATCTACCATCACTGTGAAATAATGGTTGTCTGATAAAATGGATACATAGACTACAAGCTGCTAATTGGTTATTTTAAGCTGTTTTCTAAAAGACAGAACAACCACTAAACATGTTTTTGAAATAGGATGCAGAAAGATCAAATTGTGTCCTAAAATTTCCTCCAGCCAACCAAACTCACGGTTCCTATCAAAGGGTGTTG